CACCTCTGCCATTATAAAAGATAATTCAAAATAACCCCTTATATTTATATGTATATTATCCACAGCTATTATTATAAAAAATAATTTAAAGTAACCCCTAAATTTGTATCTAAATTATCCACCTCGGCTATTATAAAACATAATTTCAAATAACCCCCTAACATTGTGTCTAAATTATCCAACTTTGTAAGTATAAAAGATAATCTAAAATAATCCTCTAACTTTGTATCTAAATTACTCACATCGACCATTATGAAAGATAATTAAAAATACCTCCTATGATTTTATAAATTATTCCCCTTTATCATAATGAAAGATAATGCAAAGTAATATTCTAAGTTTTCATTTAACATATCCATATATGTTGCCGTGAAAGATAAAATAAGGTATTACCTTTATATTCATATGTACCTTAACCATTATAAAAATAAATAAAAATATCTAAAATCTACATGTAAATAGCAATATATATTAGTTCAAAAAATAAATCAGTATCCATAAAGTATGATACATATATATTTCTAAATTACATACTTCTATAATCATGAAATAAAATAACTATAATGTTATGTTACATCATGCATATCAAATAAACATGTATATATTAGAATAAATATTTATTTGAACAACTTATAAAACATGGAAAAATGTTTGACATGTCTATATTTTTAAATAATCTAGTTTGACATGTCTATATTTTTGACATGTCAAACTTTATGATTATACTATAAATATATCTAAATGTTTATATCTAAAGTAACATAAATATATCTAAAGTAACAAAAATATTTATGATTATACTATAAATATATCTAAATGTTGAACGTGTCTATATTTTGTTACTTTAGATATACTTATGTATTTTAACTGAAATGTTTGACATGTCTATATTGGTATAATCATAACTACAAATATAATTTCTTGATAGAAAAAATCAATCATCTTGAGAAGTGTGGGAGACCATTGGTGGCTATATTTTCCTAGCCCTTTAAGAATACTTAAGAGTGAAAAATCGATCACTATAAGGTTTAAGTATTAAAATTCTATTAAGGTTAGCACTGCTACCCCTAGCCGAGATATCACTTCAAGCTCTATGACTTATCTTAAGCGATATGGTGCATGCAAATAATGACTTCTATTATAGTACTTAAGAACATGCTCTATGACCTAAAATCCATATTTTTTAAAAAAAAGTGCAAAAGGGAGAGTTCATGAAAGATACATTAAGCACAAGAGCTTCAACTTAACTTGAGGAGAGAGAAAATCTATAGCAGTCGATAAGAATAAAATTAAAAAAACAAATTTAGATTTATGACTTCATAAAATATACATGATGCAACAAGAACCACCATGATTAATGGTATGGTGTCAAAGTAATTGCATATTAAAAATATATAGAGGTGCTATGTGAAGGAAAAACATGAATATGGACAAAAAATATATGGATTAGTTCCTTGAAAAAATAGTAATCAATAATTTTATGATAACTGGATATAGACTTCGGAGTATCTACTATGTCTTTTATGTTAGAAAATAAACAAAGATAAAAAACATACTATTTAATATAATTAATTCTTTCTTGTCAGATGTACATGTACTCCTTCTATTTCAAATTATAAGACATTTTGAGTTTTTAAAATACATAAATTTTGCTATACACTTAGATATACTGTCTGGATACATAATAAAAACAATATATGCAGAAAAGCCAAAACTTCTTATAATTTGGAATGAAAGGATTATTAAACAATACCTAATAATTATATATCTCCTAAAATTCTAGCCAGTGCGAGAGCACGGGTTGATGAACTAGTGTAAAATAATTGGACAGGTAATTTATTAGGTTTTCCTCTAATTAGTTTGTGAATCAAGAAAATTAAAGATGTCCTGCATCAGCTAGCATATATACACTGAACGATATTCTTCCTTACATGAATTAATCGACGCTATTCGGTAATTTTTTTGCTATATTTCTCCCCCTTTTTTGTTATATTGTTCTTGCATACAATGAGAAGAAATAGTTGTGAGATGACTCATTACCATCGCGTGGAAAAAAATTCAAAAGTGAAAATGTCGATAGCTAGAGGTCTGAAGTTTGAACACATGCACAGTGGACAGGGAGCTACAGAAAAGGCGCAGATTCGATCTATGCTTGCGTTGCTTGGGAGCTATGGAAGGAGTGCAATGCCAGGTGCTTTCGTGGAGCAGTCACCCAAGTGCCAAACCTGCTTGCCACGATCAAGCGGGAAGCCGAGCTGTGGGTGCAAGCCGGCGCCAAGAATTTGGGTTGTCTCTTGCAGCGAGTAGTACCACAGATAGCAGTGTTCTTCGCCTAGGGAGGGCCAATGACCTGTTGTAAAATCTTTTGCCCCCCTAGCGTGCCTCATGTAAAAAAAAAAACCTTTCTCTTTTAATACAAATACGCGCAAATCTTTTGTGTGATCGAGAAAAAAAAGGTGAAATGTCGATAGCTAGGTTTGAAGTTTGAACACATGAGTATTATATTAATTACTCGCTCAAATCAGACATCTTAGTCGTCTATCAGCACACAATATATAAAGATAGATAGCACAACTAGTTTGATATACTGAGAGCTTAGCGTATCTTAGGTATTCCAACAATCGAATCCCACATCTTTTCACATCGTATCACGTCAATGAATCAATCGCTCCGCTGCTCCGTTTTCGCTGAAGTTGCTGTCGAAATCTAATGCCGATAGCGATCTGGAGTGGAACGTGTGTAAAATAAAGCCTGTGTGGAGCAGCTAGAACGTAACGGGAGTCGATCCACGCACAGTAGATGGCTACTGACAGTGACATTGTAAAAACGAAAGCGCACAGAAGGACTCAAGAACAAGGAAACATTCGCTGAACAGAGCGAGCGAGGAGGATCGTCTCAAATGCAGTACTGGTACAACGAACGAAACTGGATCGAACATATGCATGACATGTAGCTAGTGCTATTTTTTGACGCTAGGAAACATATATATGCACAGTTAATTAGTTCTTTCGAATATAGTACTGTTGGTTTTGATTCGTGTGTTTGGAAAGCAAGGGGAGAATCGAATGACGGCGAAGAGAACATGATATCTCTGAACTGAATTTTGCAGATTTGTTTGGCGTGGGCATGGATCGATGGAGTGATCGAAGGGATCGCACCTAGCAGCTATAGTTCCTGCAACCGTGCCAAACCTCATGTGCTGCGAGCGTTTTGATAGACAAGCTAGACCGAAACTATAGGCAAACTGCATGCGAGCGTTTGAAACCAATAATACATACTTTATTTATTTTTTAGTACCAAAAAAGATGACCTCACAAGAAGTCCACAACCATTTGGAAAAGATTAGTGGCATGGCATTCTCCCAATCGCATTCCAATACTAGAAAGTCGATCGCAGGCTATGTGGTCGTCCTTGCCTCTCCAAAACAGAAAGAACGGGGAAATAAAAACACGTTTGCTGATCTACTGGTACTTTCTAACGTCAGGTGTCGTGCACCACCTTCTCTTCATCCTAGTTTCATTGGAAGATGCACACCAAACCCTGGACAATACTGGACCGAGTAGATACGCCTTCGTGAGTCTGAGAACGATTTGGCACTGGCACAGAACCACTTGACAAACCCCCAATGGAATGAACCAACCAGCCAAGCAATGACGACCTAAGGCATCGTTAACAATACTAATGTACACGCCACCTCTTTACCTTCTCGATAAAAAGGATCATGACAGACAACCACATGTAAATCTACCTTTGCTATTTCTTGAAACCGCATAGCTGTGAAGATAATAATGGACAACTCACATGAGCTATACGAGACATCTCTTTTTCAGAGGGGGGGGTTACCATGCTGGCATCGCCTAGCTAGGGCCGTGCCTAGGGCTATGACAAGGATGTCTGGATGTGGAGGTTTAGGTCTCATGTAGCTAACTCTTCCTTCTACATTGTTTAGTTTAGATAACGGAAAGGTTTACAGTAGAAAAGAAAAAAGAAAACGTATTAGAGGAAACGTATTAACCTTTGTGTGATCGAACTCATCATAACATGCTAGAAAACATCATTTCAACCAACTTAACATACTTAAAGCTAATAGCCAGGGTTTTCTAATAGTACGTGTTTGAATGCAATACATGAGTGTATATGATGTTGGTTGGATTGGATCATTGGAGCCTAGGCCAAGAAGCATATCAAGCTCTTTATGTCCAAAATCTAACGCTCGAAGCGGCACATTTGCATAGTATGCAGTGACGGATCTAGGATTCAAAATATATGGGGCTAAACTTATTGATTGTAAGTCAATTATCACAACTATTACACAATGAACACATATAATTGCAAATTTTATAAAGGGGGTTAGATGTATTTGGGCAAAAACTCTAGGACGAGGCCAGACGGCCTCACAATTTATACATAGATCCATCGCTAATTCTATCTAATGAAACATACCTGGCCCCACAACTTATATATAGATCCGTCACTGACGGTTATATAACCAAACATGCTCTATATGCCTGATGACAAAACAACGGGAATAAAGCGTCTCTTCGTCAATACCAACTTGGGCACAAAAGATTGAGATTACAATCCTAAGGATCCATTCCAAAAAAAAAAATCGATGAAAAATCCATTCCAAATTCAACCGGAGTCATGCAAATTCTTGGAGCAATCTCCTCATCCGAGCAATCCAACAGCCCAGATCGAGCTTCACAGATTGTTGGCAACAGCGGCAAGCAAAGACTTAACGGCGACATGAACACAGGCTACTTGGCCCTGATCTCGGCCGGCGATGCTTGATCAGACGGCTAGAATTACCACACCACGCTGTGCTGAGTTGCTGACGGTCAAGTCATCCACCGACTCCCCGCGCGCCACTCTTGCTCCCCTCCGTGTCTACTCCTATATAAGAGGCTCGCTCGCGGCACTCTTGCTCTCGCGCTCTGTGCACACACGAGACGACCTCCCCCTTCCCTCTGCTTTTCCTCTGCTTCATTCCTCGATCGGCCATGGTGGTCTTCGCCAAGGGTGAGCTCGAGCAGATCGCCCTGCCGGCGGCGGAGCCGCCCCCAGTCGACGTGCGGTGGGTGGACCTGTCCGCCCCGTCTGGCCCGGCGCGCGAGGCCGCGGCGCGCGCGCTGGTGGCGGCGTGCGAGGAGCACGGCTTCTTCCGGGTGATGGGCCACGGCGTGCCGCCCGAGCTCGTACGCGCCGCGGAGGCCGCGGCGGCCAGGTTCTTCGCGCGGCCGCAGGGCGAGAAGGAGCAGGAGGCCCCCACGCTCGGGTATGGCAGCAAGCGCATCGGCGGCAACGGCGACCTCGGCTGGGTCGAGTACCTCCTGCTCGGCGTCACCCCCGCCGGCGCCGCCGTGCCCACCGCCTCCGCGTCCTCCTCAACATTGCCATGCGCCGCCGCCGCCGCGGCCACCGCCGCCGCAGGCGCCTCGTCGCCGTCCGCGCCGACCGGGCCGTTACGGTGAGTCGCCGCCACTCGCAGCGGGGCAGAACGGTGCCGGCGTTCGGCGTTGCACCAGCATCGCTTCGCTGCTGGCTAGCCTGTTACTTTCCCTTTGCTGCCTGTCTGCCTGCATACAAGCACACACATGTCACCTCTTTGCAAGTTTGCATTGCCTTCCCTCTCAGCTCCATGCTCTGCTCGTGCTTGCAATCTGTCACGTGGAGCAATACCACACCAAGCATACGCACGTGCTCGTAGCACAAAAACCCAAGAAGAACAATCCCAGCACGGTGGCAGCAATGGATCTTCAATAAATCCATGATGCTCAATAATAAACAAATAAAATCCTAATGCTACTACTAGGAATCTATTGGAAAAAAAAAGAGAAAAGAAATTGGTGTCGTATCCGTACGTGGAAGATAAGACTGCCCGAGGTACACGCCATTTGATCCACGAGCCGCGCCGCGCGACGTCGGTTCGTTGCATGGTCTCCGTCGTCGCGCCGGCGCCGCCCACCCCAATTTATTGCGGTGCGCGCTGCCGGCCGCGCGCTCTGGTGACGTGCATCCGCGCGGGCGGCGGGCGCAGGTCGACTCGACACGAACGCAAGCGCGCCATCATGCCCAGCTTCTCCCGTCACTGTCGCCGGATTTAAATTATACTCGATCGATTGTGATTTTTTCGCCTGCGTGCGCGCGTCTGACAACGTATGTACGTTGGCACGCACGCTGACTCAGGGACCTTCTGGACGAGTACACGGTGGCCGTGCGGCGGATAGCGTGCGCGGTGCTGGAGCTGATGGCGGAGGGGCTGGGCATCGCCGGCGCCGGCTCCGGCGACGGGGACGCACTGGCGCGGCTTGTGACGCGCGCGGACAGCGACTGCATGCTGCGGGTGAACCACTACCCTCCGCGGCCGGCGCTGAACCCCAGCCTGACGGGGTTCGGCGAGCACACCGACCCGCAGGTCATCTCGGTGCTCCGTGCCAACGGCACCTCCGGCCTGGAGATCGCGCTGCGGGACGGCGCCTGGGCCTCCGTTCCGCCCGACGGCGACGCCTTCTTCGTTAACGTCGGCGACACCCTGCAGGTACGTACCTCGATATCTTACTATTACTATTGTTTTTCTTTTTTTTTAACCGTGTCATCATCAGCCATCTCTAGCTAGCTGGTAGGAGCTAGCGAGTTGGGATGAATAATCTGGCACCAGTCGTACTCGAGATCTGTTTCGATCGATCAGTCAACATCAACAACCATCCGTCAAACACGATCGAGCTTACGACACGTAATTAGCACGTACGGAGTACATACACGTACGATCATATACCTAGGTACGTACTAGTAGGTACGTACTAGTAGCTAGGCCCCAAGTTGTACCCGTGAAACAGTGGTACGTACACGTACCCGTAGACGTACAGCGGTAGATAGTAGCCTTTCGTTCGAAACAGCACGGAACGGAACGGGCCAAGCAAAGCATATGCCATATGCTGCACTGCAGCAGCATGACTGCATGCATGCTAGCTTCTTTGTTCGTTCCTGCGACGTACATACGACGACTGATGATGCTGTGCGTGCGTGCAGGTGTTGACGAACGGGAGGTTCAGGAGCGTGAGGCACAGGGTGGTGGTGAACAGTGAGAAGTCCCGGGTGTCCATGGTCTTCTTCGGCGGCCCGCCGCCCGGCGAGAGGCTGGCGCCGCTGCCGCAGCTGCTGGGCGACGGCGGCCGGAGCCGGTACCGGGCCTTCACCTGGAGCGAGTTCAAGACCAGCGGGTGCAGGACCAGGCTCGCGGAAGACCGCCTGTCCCGCTTCGAGAACAAGTAGCTAGCTAGAGGCTACGTAAGCTATTAGCTACCACGGTAAGATGCCGAGATCGGTCATGCATGTATGCTTCTGATGTATGCCAGGTTCGCATGATGGGCGTGTATGACGCATATAAGTGGACGAACGTGCTAGTATAGCTACTGGCACCGGTCTATATTAGCAGAGGTCATGCTCCTTGCTCATCGTATTGTACACGTGTATGCAGAGCTATCATCCAATATATCTATCTCTCTTGTCTCAAATTATCTGTTGTTTTTTTGTCTCTATGCCACAAGTTTGACTCGATTTATAGAAAATACGTGCAAACATTTGTATCTCTAAATAAATTTATTAAAAAACTAGATTAAAAAATATTTCCAATAATATCAATTATATACCATAAATATTAATATTTTTTTAACATATTTTATTTCTCGAAAATACAAAAACAGACAGATATTTTTAGAACGGACGGAGTATCTAGCTATCCAGTACCATACACGGTTCTGTTAGGCCACGTTTAGTTCTCAAAAAGTGCTACAGTAGCCATCACATCGAATCTTGCGATACGTGCATGGAGTATTAAATGTAGACGAAATGTAGACAAAAAAAACTAATTGCACTGTTTGGTTGGAAATCGTGAGACGGACGTTTTAATCCTAATTAGTCTATGATTGAACACTAATTGTCAAATAAAAACGAAAATACTACCGTAACTAAATTCCTAAATTTCGTCCAACTAAAAAGGGCTTAGCTTACAAGGGCTTAGCTTACAACTCGTGCGGCAGTGCTTCGAGACAGCTCACGCGTCGTGCGTGTCCATAAGCGAAACAGCGGTGCTATATGTGCAGGCATGACGTACGCAGAGCCGCTGAAGCTGGCACTGGCAGCTCTACACTGACTATCTAGTGACTCCTACTTTACCTCACGCGTGAACGCCTGGCTGATGGATCGATCATGCAACAGTCAACAACAGCAAAAAAAACGCTAACGTTTTTCTGGACGGAGGGAGTAGACAGCCAGCCTGTGTGTTGCGTTGCATTGTGTGGCCCTTCCAAGTCCCGACATCAGTACTTGCAACTCTGACACGACGCAGCAGGAGCCACTTGTGACATAGTACGGCCTGCAGCTGCCGCGGCGCTTTTCCTTGCAAAGGCGTCCTGTGCACGAGAGTACGTGCGTCAGTGTGACCCGCAGTGCGCCTGCACGCCCCCTGGTCCCTGGATCCGGAGCCCCGAGCGGCCAGCTCCAGCAGGGCAACAGCGAAACGCGCGCATCACCAACAGGGCGTTCCATCGCAGGTGAACAGAGACTTCCTCTAATGGAGCGCCTGTTGTGTTTTTTTTTCTGAAGGCAGGGAGTAGTGGTGTTTGACCCTAGCTAGGGAACTGACACCTACTGTCACAGTGTGACAGCGCGCCAGCCGCCAGGTCATCAGTCAAACCAACCGCACCCGGTGAAGCAGCCGTGGAGCTGAGTGTTGTGGACCACTTGAATTAAGCACCTGCATCATTAATACTACTAACTTGTCATTGTCATTAGTCATTCAGAAAGAAGACTTCGGTGCAACAGGATTTCCCGTTAGTCATTCAGAAAAGAGATCTCGGTGCAACAGGATTTGCCGGCTAGCTTTCCGGAACCATGTTCGTTTGAAGTTATCGGCTGTATCGAATCGTTAAAATAACAGTATTTTTTTTTAACAATAAATTAACATCAGCATTAGTATCAATCGTTTTTTCAGCAAGACAAATAGGATCTTAAGCCTCCATGTTTGGATGCTATAGTACTCCACTAGTACTTGTCAGTTGTCATTAGTCATTCAGAAAGAGATCTCGGTGTCACAGGATTTTCCAGCTAACTTTGATATATGCCTTAAGCTTTTCTATCATTACTAGCAAAAAATTTTTACGAGACTCAGTTACCGACGTCAGTAAGTATCGAGATTAACGAAGTCACCACGTACACTCGCTATCGTCGACTGACATGTCATCTGTCACTAAAAGAATAGCTAGATGCTACTTAATATATATAAGCTACGTATGAGCTAGCACGGCAGGATCGATCATGCAGGTATGCTTCTGATGTATGCCAGGTTCGCATGATGGGCGTATAGTATATAATGACGCATAAGTAGGGATGAAAACGGATCGGATACGAACGGATATCATTCATATTATATTTGTTTTCATATTTCGTCAATTCGGATTCGGACACTCCATACATATACGAATACGGATTGACTCGATTCACGGATACGAAATAATGATGCGAATCGGTGAATCGGATTCGGAGAAGGTGGGATACAAATATCTATTCGGATATTGAGTAAAATATATATATATATATATATATATATATATATATATATATATATATATATATATATATATATATATATATATATATATATATCGGTGCAAAACCATTACACCACTCTATGAGTCCATAATCCATCTAGATTAAGCCGAAAGACTAAAGAGTAAAGCAACAAATAAGATAAAGATACGTATACATCATACATCAAACATCATATAAGCACCAATCTTCAAGCAGGTGAGTAGAAATAGCCAAGCACATTGCTTCATGAGTCTCATGGAGTTATGGTCATGGATTCAAGATCTACAATCCTTATATAGGTCATTTTTTCATTTTGAGAAAGTTTGAACAAAATGTAGTTCAAATTTCACAAGTGTGTGACATAGTTTTAGAAAGTCTATATGAGATTTAAGAATTTGTGACTAGTGTTTGATAAAACTTTCTCAAATGGGAAAATGAGCTATGTAACAATTGTATATCTTGCTGAGATGATCAAACTTGGTATTCAGAGTTTTTTCATCTGAGGTCATTTAGTGTCTCATTTGAGCAAGTTTGACCAAGTCAAATTTGGTCAAATGAAAAAACAACACTTTGACTCTAGTATTATGAACTCTAAATGACTTCAAATTGAAAAGTTTTGAATACCAAGTTTGTTCAACTCATCAAGATCTACAATTCTTGTTTTGGTCAACTTTCCATTTGAGATAGTTTGGATGGTTAAAATTTGTTATTTTTAAATTTCGATGCTTACAAACTAGTTTTCGGAACCCTAGATTGTCTCAAATTGAAAAGTTTTGAATACCAAGTTTGTTCAGCTCATCAAGATCTACAATCCTTATATAGGATATTTTTTCATTTGAGAAAGTTTGAACAAAATATAGTTCAAATTTCACAAGTGTGTGACATAGTTTAAGAAAGTCTATATAAGATTCAAGAATTTGTGACTAGTGTTTGATAAAACTTTCTCAAATGAGAAAATGAGCTATGTAACAATTGTATATCTTGCTGAGATGATCAAACTTGGTATTCAGAGTTTTTTCATCTGAGGTCATTTAGTGTCTCATTTGAGCAAGTTTGACCAAGTCAAATTTGGTCAAATGAAAAAACAACACTTTGACTCTAGTATTATAAACTCTAAATGACTTTAAATTGAAAAGTTTTGAATACCAAGTTTGTTCAACTCATCAAGATCTACAATTTTTGTTTTGGTCAACTTTCCATTTGAGATAGTTTGGACGGTTCAAATTTGTGATTTTTAAATTTCAACGTTTACAAACTAGTTTTCGGAACCCTAGATTGTCTCAAATTGAAAAGTTTTGAATACCAAATTTGTTCATCTCATCAAGATATACAATCCTTATATAGGTCATTTTTTCATTTGAGAAAGTTTGAACAAAATATAGTTCAAATTTCACAAGTGTGTGACATAGTTTCAGAAAGTCTATATGAGATTCAAGAATTTATGACTAGTGTTTGATAAAACTTTCTCAAATGGGAAAATGAGCTATGTAACAATTGTAGATCTTGCTGAGATGATCAAACTTGGTATTCAGAGTTTTTTCATCTGAGGTCATTTAGTGTCTCATTTGAGCAAGTTTGACCAAGTCAAATTTGGTCAAATGAAAAAACAACACTTTGACTCTAGTATTATGAACTCTAAATGACTTCAAATTGAAAAGTTTTGAATACCAAGTTTGTTCAACTCATCAAGATCTACAATTCTTGTTTTGGTCAACTTTCCATTTGAGATAGTTTGGATGGTTCAAATTTGTGATTTTTAAATTTTGAATAAATATCCGGGTAATATCCGTTTTTAAATATCCGGATATATCCGATACTTATCCGGATTATCCGATATCCGCCGGATATCGATGATATTACATCCGCATTTGATATCCGCCTAAGATATCCGTTTTAGTATCCGTATCCGAAAAAAACCCGGATATCCGAGTAACTATCCAGATAAGTGTTCATATTTGTTCGGTCGAACGGACGGTCGAATAAATATCCGTACCGTTTTCATCCATACGCATAAGTGGACGACGAACGTGATAGTATAGCTACTGGCACAGGTCCATATTAGAGGTCATGCTCCATGCTCATCGTATTGTACACGTGTATGCACGCATGGTGCACCACACATGGTATCATCCAATATATATATCTATCACTAGTAGAGAACCTAGCTATAGTCCTAGTTCTTAACCTCCTTTAATCTCGGTTTTGGAACCGGGACTATGCAATCGGGACTAAAGGTCTTGATTTTTAGTCCCGGTTCCTCTAACCGGGAGTAGAGGTGTTTATTGTATAAAAAAAAGTTGCAGCTGTGGAGATTCGAACCTACGACCTCCCACTTTAGCTCTTGCACGTGTTACCATCTCACCTACCACCACACATCTATCTTAGATAAGATACGCTTTCCTTTTAAATTCAGTTTGGAGACACCTTTAGTCCGGATTTGAGACATAAACCGGGACTAAAGCACCCCTTTTATCCAGGCCCATGTGTCACACCGGGACTAAAACTCTTTTATCCATTCATGCAACCGGGACTAAAGATTCTCATGACCATATCTCCTCTTGGACCAACAACAAAGTAAATCAAACACGACTAGATGCACGATTTAAACATGTAAAAATACCGGGACTAAAGCCAAATTTCAAGTGGATCCAAATCACCTCTCTATCATCTAAGCAATCCATCCA